TTTATTTCATGAGTTATTACAATTATGTGTTATGTTTTTTTCACTGACATCAGAAATCATATTATTTACAAAACTTTCAAAAAAAAAAAAAAATAAAATGCTTCCTACGGAAGCCTGGTAAAGTCATTTAAAAAACACTAATGTACTCCAAAATAGTTCTAAACAGCTATGCCTGCCTATAAAACAACATGTACTCTTGAGTCTTTGAAACTAGATCTTTCATTTTGCCATGAAAAACATCATTAAGTGTCTCAAAATAATGCCTTTCCCCAAACTGGCTATGAATTGCATGATGGAGGCTACCCCCAGACTGAAGGAAGTGCAGTGGAAAAGGGAAGAACATATTTAGGCTGAAAGATAAATTTTTAAGGAGAGCTCTATTTTAAATATTTAGTGGATAGCAATAGGGTTTTCTTAACCATAGAAATGTATGTTACAAATTCCCAAATGGGAAAAGACCCTGTGTTCCAAAATGCACAGAACGTTGTGTGAGCTGGGTCGGTGGGTGGGTAGGGTAGTGGGATGGACACCTAACCTGGGCTTGTCAAAGAAAGGAAAAACATCTGGGCAGAAGTTTGAGCCCCAGAAGAAAGCAGTTGGCCAGGGAGGGATAAAATAGAGAGAAAGGTCCATCAAAGATAATAAACCCAAAGCCAAAAATGTAGCCTTTACCAAACCCAAGTTGAAGCCAAAGGAGATAAAAGAAATCTGAGTGGATCCCGCTGTCTAAGAGGCCACTAAAAGCGCCCAAGAATAGAGGGAGGAGGGTAAGAAGAACCACATCCCATACACAGTGCTGAGGGGAAGGACACTAAAGAGGTCAGGGTGTGACAATTGGAGAGACAATTTTGATCCAGAACCTAAAGTCTGTTTAAAGTGAATTAAATAAAGTTAATTATGTGTGTAGAATTAATTATTTTAATCTCATTCTCTAGGGTGAATTAGGGTGGATAAAGTAAGAAAAGGGATATAGTTAATATGAGAATAAGGTAAATATGTTCTGGTGAAACAGTCACCTCAATTCTTCCTTTGCGTGGTGGTGAAAAAAAGAAAATATCGCCGTATATCACGATAAAGATATAGTGACATCCATTCTTCTGTCTAATGTGTTTAGATAGTCACAGAAAGTAAAAACAGATGAGTTTGGCCAGGCGTGGTGGCTCACATGTATAATCCTAGCACTTTGGGAGGCCGAGGTGGGGGATCGCTCAAGGTCAGGAGCTTGAAACCAGCCTGAGTCAAAAGCGAGACCCCATCTCTACTAAAAATAGAAAGAAATTAATTAGCCAACTAAAAATATATAGAAAAAATTAGCCGGGCATGGTGATGCATGCTTGTAGTCCTAGCTACTCGGGAGGCTGAGGCAGAAGGATTGCTTGAGCCCAGGAATTTGAGGTTGCTGTGAGCGAGGCTGACACCACAGCACTCTAGATCAGGCAACAGAGTGAGACTCTGTCTCAAAAAAAAGAAAAAAAAACCAAACAGATGAGTTTCACAATTTCTTAAGGATATCACTTGTCAATAAGATGCATTATTTAGATTACTAAATTGAGTAATTACACCATTTTTACTGGCCCTAGCAGCTGTGCATTTAAGGGGAGTTTTACAAGTGGGCTTCTCTCTTTAACTTCTTCATTTTCTGATCTGGTCCTGCTGTCAAATATCATGACCTCATTGTTAGTCTCTGACTATCCTCTGGTTCTTTCTGCTTTATGCCTTCCAGATCAACAGGTCTCTCTCCAATGGTTTCTCCAGTTTCTCATTTCAGACACCCTGAATGCCTCCTTTTAGAATGGTCCAGTGCAGCTCCCTGTTCACCCAAACTAGTTATGATGGTGTTGACTCTATCTCTCTTAGGACTGTAAAGTCCATTAGGCAGGCCCCCTTTCTGACTGATTTCCTTCTGTATCTTCAATGCCTAGCACTATACTAGAACATAGTAGCCCCTAACAAAAGTATCCACCAAATGGATAAATGAGTGATGAATGACGATGAGATTAAAATTGAAAGACACTGTCTCAGTTTCTCACAATTCAAAAGTCATACTTTAATTCTGTACTGGCAAAGTCCTAAGGCATCCCAAAGTCCTTATGGGACTCTGTGAATTGAGTTTGCAACAATGGCTTGGCCTGGTCTCGCAGAGAAGTCTTCTACGTGATTGCAAAAATGGCTCGGGCAACCATGTGTAGTGTATGGACAACCAAAAACTGCTGGACCACAGATCCATGGACACAGCACGGTTAAATATGCTTAGAAGATTCCCCACTCTCCTGCCTCCCTAGAGAAATTTACTCTGGTAAGCCCTTGATAATCAACACATCTGCATTTCCGCACTCCAGCCAACGATCCACAGCAAGAGAGTCGTTTCCTCCTTCTCTGCTTGAGACTCTATTGATTCTGCAGTTTAGGAGGAAGCTAAGTGCTATCCAAATACCGAATGTTCCATATGGTAGTGCTATTACCATTCTCACTACCATTGCATGCGGCCTTTCTACCTACACTCAGGAGGTGCCTCGTCAGAGTCTGGCAGAACAGCACAGACTCTTTTCCTGACCTATATTTGCTGACACATTTGTTGTCTTCTCTCCCTCTGTGAACTTATTAATCTTGTTGCAATAACATACATATGTGTATAAATACAAGTTTCATTTTCTTATTTATCCCCATAATCACTTAGAGGAAAATAATTTATCACCCATAATTTAAAGAGGAATTTTTAAGCTAAAATGTCTTAATTAGGAATTCAGGTGTTCCCTCTTTACTGAGAAATACAGAGCTGTTCAAATTAGACTGGAAATTAGGGCTACAATGCATGCAGCATCTACGTACACAAGTTAGTTGCAGGACAGCCAGCAAAAGGCAGTGGCTAAAGCCCTGTAAGTTGCCCTGCGTTTGTCTCCTTAATGGCAAATAATTCTCTGGGCTCCCTTTTCCTTTCACCTTTCAACTTTACGATGCAGCCAAAGGGTGGAGAGACTCACCACCCTACGGATTTTCCCTTTTGTGTTTCTGTAGGAGAAGGCATGCACTGCCAAAGAGCTGGGGGTCTCTTAACCCACCTTCTTTCATTAATGTAGTGAAATGAAGCTTATTTAGTAATGACAGAAAGAGATGAGCCAAGTAGGGCAGCTCACATATGGTGCCAGACAGTTAGTGGCTCACAAGAGGCCAGGAAGCTTGCCTCGCCCAAGGCACTCGCTGCACCCCGGAGCGAGGCAGCCCGGGTGGGAACGAGGCTCTGCTTTCACACAACGGCTGCTCCAAGGGCGCCCCTGGCCAGGTGATCGAGACAGCACTGATTTCGAAATGTCTGACTTGGAGGCTTCGATCAGACAGTCTCTCCAGGACTGGGATTACTCCATTAATTCAAATTAAAGCCATTCACACGTACATTAAACTCTTTTTTTAGATACCACAGGAGGATGAAAAGGAGGAGAAAGGGAAAAATCATTTTACAAGATTGGCATTATATAACACTATGGTTAGTTTAGTGCCATACCTCACATTTGTTTACTTCTATCATAATCATTTCCTCATATGACTAAATACTCTCTTGAAATAGGATTTTTTAAAGATTTTAAGCATTTCACATATATTTACTTGCAACAGCACCCCATGAGATGGGTACTATTATTAACTAAATTTGACAAATGCAGACATCAAGATGTAAAGTAGCTTGCCCAATGTCACACTTTGAGAAAACAGCAGAGCTGGAATTTGAGCCCAGGCAGTCTGAAGCTTGCAGTCTTATCTACTGTGATCTACAGATTCTGCATCATATGGTGCTACCATAATTATATTTCATCATGTTCCCAATATTGGACATACATACATATATATATATATATGCACATATATATTTTTTAACTTATGAGCAATATAACTTCAGATACATGTTTAACGAAGGCTTTTTATTAAATACCTCTTTATTCTTCTTAAGAAATTAAAAACTATGCTTTCCACTGAAAAATTACTGGTATCCAGTAACTTCATAGTTGTCTAAAAATATTAATACTTGGCCAAAAAGAAAGAACTTAAAATTGCCTAGGACCTTACTACTCCTTCTTATTTTAACATTATTTCTCAAATGTCAAAATCTGGTAAGTTTAAAGCATGCTACTGTCTGCAGGAGGAAGGTTCTTCAAAACAGTATGATTTACAAATAAATGACCCTCCCCCACACCAAAAAAAGTCAAAACACATGAAAACATCATTTTGCATAATCAATTGGCAAAAACTTTTTTGTTTTCTAAATTCCCAGCACTGGAAAATTGTGTGGCAGCAGATACTCTTATACATTACCTCTGGAAATGAAAACTGGCATGACTTTATTGGAAAGTAATTTGGTAACAAGTTATCAAAAGTCTTAACATTTGAAAACTTTTAAATTTAGCAGTTTACTGCTAAGAAATTATCCTCAGGAAGCCATTAATAATGGAAACTAAGGTAGAGAGCTGTAAGAACATTTTTGGTAGCAAAAAAATCAGAAATGACTACATGTCCACCCAGTGGGGACCAACTCAATAAATTTTAGGATGGCTACCCAATGGTCTACAGATAATCATTAAAAATTATGTTGTAGAAAAATATCTGTTGCTATGAAAGGTGTTCATTATTACATTGTTAAAAGGAACAAAGAGTTAGATGACACTATATATTGTACTGTTTTTTCACTACCATCTAATGGTGGTCTCTTTAGCTGAATTTATGACTATTGCTTCCAGAATTATCCTTTTCTTATCAATGCCTAGTAATCTATCCTAGTCAGTGATCTCAAAATAAGTAGAAGTTATTTTCTTTCCTACAAAAAAACGCAAGGGTTTTATTTTTATAAAGGAGAACAAGAAAAATAGAGAGTATGCGCAAACATACAGATATGTGTCTATGTTGTGTGTACATGTGTGTGTGTGAATGAATATGTATAACACCCCACGACTACCTTGGGGACTTTACAACTAAATGATAATTATTTTTGGTGAAAGATATTTGGAGATACTTACTTGTAGCATGTGCTTTCATCACAATGGAGAACCATAAGCCGTCAGTTCCTTCCAGCGGATCTTTTCACACAGATTTTGCTTGAGTAGAAAGGGTGGCAGTGGAGGATTTCAATATAAGATGCCTAGACCTGTAATTATAAAGACAGTATTCCTACTGAGTCAGGCAGCTTCTGTCTAAGGCCTTCATTCACACTAGCTGAAGTCACAGAAAAGAGAAACATCAGATTGCATAATCTCTCTCTCTTGCACACACACACACACACACACACACACACACACCCTGTTCTGAAATCAGAATGTCAAACTCTGCAAGCAGAGACACAGCAGCAGGTCCCCAACCCCAGGGAGGAGCAGGCTCTGGCCAGGAGCTGCTTTTCATCCCATCTCCTGATCTTACAGACATCACCATCAAAAAGATCCTGTCCCTCCCCCTCCTTCCCTACCTAATAGTGCCAAGATTTCAGCAAAAGAAAAGGTAGTTAGTTCTTCTCCAGAAAATGTTAGGAACGTTGTTGAATGTGATGCTCTCTAAGATTCCTTCTAGCCACAAAGTTATGCAAATTCAGTACATATATTTACCATTCCGGCCTGACTTTCACTTTCGAAACTGTACATGCCTCTCTTGCTGGTGACTCGGATAAGGCACGATATCGGTGCTATCCAAAGCCATCACTGACACTGATGGGACATTTACTATGTCTTGGCACTGTGCTAAGTGCTTTCCACACATTACCCCACTCCACTGCACCCTGTGAGTGGCTAGTAATCATTATTACCTGTGCATCACTGACAAGAAGTCTGACAACACACAGCTAGGAGATGTTAAAGCCAGTGTTTAAGCCAATAGCTCACAGAGGCCTTGCTTCTACTTCCAGTACTATACCATCTCTCCAAATTGATCTTGCTATCAACACTTCTGTACTTACTATAAAAAAAGCTAAATATCAAATCAACACCATCTCATTTTCCCCAGAGTTGATATGTCATCTAAGTCCTGATATTACTGTTTTTAGATTTGACTGTCCTTTGACTTTTAATCCCCAAGCTCAACTGAAACCAACATGTTCATATTTTAATTGCATGTCAATTGATAGCTGTTTAAAAATGCGAGGTAATCCCAAATCCAGATATCAAGACACCTAAGTAAAAACCTAAAATCCACACCCTACCTAAGTGGCTAAGTATCATTAGGAAGAAGGCAGATAATAAAATCAAAAGCTATGTATGAATTCTTCACATATTACATTTAGATCTGTAAAGAAAGGATGTTTCTATACATAACATAGGCATGATTAAAAACTACTTAGCTGGGCGTGGTGGCTCACGCCTGTAATCCTAGCACTTTGGGAGGCTGAGGCGGGCGGATTGATCAAGGTCAGGAGTTCGAAACCAGCCTGAGCAAGACCCCCGTCTCTACCAAAAATAGAAATAAATTAATTGACCAACTAAAAATATATATACAAAAAATTAGCCAGGCATGGTGGCGCATGCCTGTAGTCCCAGTTTCTCGGGAGGCTGAGGCAGTAGGATCGCTGAGCCCTGGAGATTGAGGTTGCTGTGAGCCAGGCTGACGCCAGGGCACTCACTCTAGCCTGGGCAACAAAGTGAGACTCTGTCTCAAAATAAATAAATAAATAAATAAATAAATAAATAAATAAATAAATATAAACTACTTAAACATATTTACCTATTTACAAATAGCTAAGAACTACTATAGGTCTTAGAATCACTGCAACACTAAATAGAATTAGGAATATCAAGGAATCAACAAAAGTATTTATGGGTCCCATAATAACTCCCCTTTTGTATACGAATGCAGGTGTAAGGTGTTCATTCGCACCTTTCTGGCTAGGCCCCTGCCTTTGCACGTGACACTCCCTTTGACTAACATGCCTTCCCCTCCCTGCCATCTAAAAAATGCCTACGCATTCTTCAAGGCCAACCTCGAGCTTCAACTTCTTTGTGAAGTCTTCCCCACTTTGCCCCTATTTTTGTTTTTGTTTTTGTTTTTTCTGGAAATCCAAGCAGAGTAGATTCTACTCTCTCCTATGTTCCCTTGATCAGCATTGGCACCAACATCATCCTGACGTCTTCCTCTCCCAAATTAATGCCCCATATTCTACCAGCAGACCCCTCAAAGCTCTCTACTGCTCCCCTGTACCATCACGGCTCATCTGGCCTCCTAACTGGTCTCCTGGTGTCCACCCTGGCACTCGACTGCCCAATTTTCAGCTCCTGCCTAAAGCACCACAGTGACTTTCCACTGAGCTTAGATCTTAACGTGGCCCCAGGGCCTGCCGTGGTCTAGCCCTATGTTCTCTTCCAGCCTGCACCTCAGCTTGGCTGGCTTACTTTCAATTCCTCAAAAGCGCCTTGCTCCCCTAGGCCTTAGGGCCTTTGCATATGATTTCCTCCTTGCTAAGACTTCTCCCCAAATCACCCACCCCTTCCATCAGGTGACCTTGACTTCTTTTCTCCTTCAGCTCTGAGTTCAGTCCTTTTCTCGACAAGGGAGCCTTTCTTGACCTCCTGGCCAGGTCACCTACCTCCTACAACATGCTTTTATAGAATCACACTCCCTTTTGGTTGATTTCATTGATTAATGCTTGTTTCTCCCACAAATCAGTAAGCTCCAGGAAGGCAGAACTGTGTCTGTTCTCATTTTATCTTCAGGACTCAATGCAGGGCTTTGCACATCATAGGCACAACAAAAATCTGCTGAATGGATCAGTGAGTCAAAGAAGAAGGGAAGAAGGAAGGGAGGAAGAATGGAACGACATTCCTTATTCATGACAGTTCAATCAGTGTTTGTGGAATTAATCTGTGTATGGTTTTCCAACACACGGAGTGTAACATCCACATTCCTTTGAAGAATGTGCAAGGCTCCCTGTGATCTGGCCCTGGCAGCAGGGTCTGTCCTCCAGTCTTGACCCTCAGGCACCCGGAGTCCCTGTGGCTACCCATCAACCTTGTCCCCCTTCTGCTCATCTCCCCACCCTGTCTCTTCCGTTCCCTCCAAACATCATTTTGTCGAACTCACTCAGTCTTCAAGTCTCAGAGCTAGAGCTGCTTTTCTGCAAAGACCTCCCTGATACCTTCTGGGAAGCCAGAGCCCTCTTCTCGAATTTTCTCACAGCACCTTGTTGTAAACAATTATCCCTATTAAAGCAATTATCATATCTTCTTGTACTTGTTTCTTAAGTAAGTCCATCTTTCCCACTACAATCTAAGACCCTTAAAGGCAAGGAAGGGGTATCCATCCCCTCATCACAGTATGCCCAGAGTTTAGCACCGCAGCCTGGCACATAACTGTCAATAAATGAATATTGGTTGAAGGAACAGAAATGTGAATATATTTACACACACGCACTCATATGTATCTATCACATACACTTACACATATATTTCATATGTGCAAAGCCCCAGAGTACAGCATTTGTAATATATTATTAATATATTAATAGTTTATTATTATTAAATGTTGTGAGGCACAATGGTTATAAATTCATCAGTAAAATGGGCTAATAACACCTATCTCACAAGGTGGTTATGAGAATTAAATAAGATACATAAGTAAAATGTTCGGCACAGAGCTCAGTATACTGGAAGCACTCTATCAATATTCATTGTACAATCATTATTACTATCATTATTGTTGTTAGGGAAACCAAGTTGAATTTATAATTCATGGTTCAAGTTTAACAGTTTTATTTGCCAACATTTCTTCCTATTAAAACATTAATTAGCTTTCGCATCTCCGTAAGGACATCAAGATGGTTACAGAGTCACTCAGAAAACTATGGATACAGGAGAGTCTTATTACAACTGCAGGGCAAATTATTTCTCAATAAGCTGCAATATACATATGGAGGGGCTAAAGCATCAACAGAAAAAGGATTTCCATACAAAAAATTATCTATAAAATCTAGATGACAAAAACAACAAATATTGCCATGCAAGTGCTATAAACATTTAGCTGAAATAATTATAAATACTGACTGTAAATTATTTATTTTGCTAAAAATACAAGCTATCTACATATGCATCCATTTCTTTTAATTACTGGACAAAGTAATGTGACTTCATAAAATACTAGAGGTTCGACTAATGAATATGCCATAAAATGTTTGAATTAATAGCAGACACATTGCATATGTAGCCTATTAGATGCTATTCTAATTTAACATTGCTGAAATTTAATCAAATAGACTACACAAACAGGAAAAAAGAGGCAAGACTATTTTGCAGCAGTATTTAAAAAAAATAATAATGTAAGAATGAATTGTTTACAAATGCTACCAGTACATAGTTGAGCAAAATGAACTGGTAATAATTCATCCCACAAAGCAAGTTTATAATTCTGCCCTGTATTGCTGTTTCCCTTGCATACTGGCCATAGTTATTGATTTATTTTTGAGACAGAGTCTCACTCTGTTGCCCCTGCTAGAGCGCCATGGCATCAGCCTAGCTCACAGCAATCTCAAACTCCTGGGCTCAAGCGATCCTTCTGCCTCAACCTCCCGAATAGCTGGGACTACAGGCATGCACCACCATTCCCGGCCAATTTTTTCTATTTTTGGTCGAGATGGGGTCTCACTCTTGCTCAGGCTGGTCTCGAACTCCTGAGCTCAAACGATCCCCAACTCCTCCCTCGGCCTCCCAGAGTGCTAGGAATACAGGCGTGAGCCACCACACCCGGCCTGGCCAAATTTAAATAATGTATACAAAGGGTTTCATATACTAGGTGCTACAGAAATATCAAGTACTATCATTATTGTACTTTGAGATTTCTATTTTCAGTTAACCTTTATTTCTGATAAATGATAAAACCCAAAACAAATTAGATTTCTGATTGGGGCTCAACCTTTTCCTCAAAAGTACTACAGTTATCAGGGAAAGTATTATAGAAATACTAAATTCATAACTTCTCATTGTTGTACTATGAGAATATTAAACTACTTTTGAGTTGAGTTATAATTCTATTCCCTGGCCACAGCTATTGACCACATTAACATACTGTAAATATATTCTTTGCAACAACATTTTAAAAAGATGGAAAGGTAGAACAGGCAAAGTTAGCCCAAAAAAGTCTTAATTAGACCGTTTTATTTGAAGTCAGTATTAATTT